TTAAAATAAATGATTGTTTTAACTGAAATTTGCGGAGTCAAGTTGCTGCATGGAAGTAAAATCGTCAGTACTTAATTTTGGATTGAATATGGGGGTGTCCACCAGATGTGTTCTCTCCAAAGGTGCTTGACTTTCTGTCTTTAATTAAAATACTGGAATGTGTTGTTTATGGAGTCTTTAGTGCTAGTTTCTTGGGGGGGAGAGGAGGGGTATAAAATAAAATAAGATTTTTTTCCAAACTGAGTGGTTTTTGTTTGGTTGGTTTTTTTTTTTTAATTTTTGGTGATTGTAAATGTTCAGGGTGCACAGAATTTCTGGAAGAAAATGTACCCTTTGCATAGCAAGTGTAGTAGCCCTTTGCATTTAAGTCAAATTAACTTGAGAGGTTTTTCTATGTTCAGAAGTCTTAACCCTGTTTAACTACACTTAAATTATTAGGGAAACTAAATTTCACATTTGACTATGAGCTTCTATGACATATTAAATGTAGATTTACCGCTAAATGGAAGTGATTTGATAAAACAATTACTTCTATTTGTAAATTCTTGTTCTTTACAGGATTTGAGCACAAAGGTAGAAATATTTTTAACTTGCAAATTTCTTTAACTTTGGAGTGTGAATATTCATGAGGGGGGGAGTTTATAGATATTGATGATGAAACGCATCACTTTTGTCTGTGAAACAGAACATCAGGAAGGGTGGCATTCTCTGTTGTGGGAGATGTGTTCAGCTTCCTAGACGTAAGCTACTTCACAGGTAAGAGCTGTAACAAATTTTGGGCTGCGCTGAGTAAAAGGAACTTTTATTTGACCTTGTCTTCTTCAACCTCCAGGCAAAACAATAGATGTCTTCAGATCTAAGCCAGTTCTTTAGAAGAGGCTTCTTCCTGTGTGTCCTTTTCTTCCCTGACAAGAAGCTGAAACAGCACAGCCAGTGTGTGCGGAGCCATAATGCACTGCAGGTGACTGCAATAGGAGACATACTCAGAACACTCTAGAGGTAGGTACAGCATATGAATACAGAAAATACACCCTTGAAAGGTGAAGGGAAAACATCAGAGTGCTTTCTGCAGTATGTTTTTCTATTTTTTTTTAAGCTCCCATGAGGTTTGCTGTGAACAATATCAAAACATTACATTATTTAGGTATTACAATAGTGGCTGCCTTGCTGTAATGATTTGGCAGTGTTCACAGCCTTCCCCTCACCCCCAGCTCACCACTTCTTGCATCAGTAAGGTAATGAAGTAATTAGTGTTCAGAATGGAGAATTACACTGGTCCTTGGCACTTCAGTGACTCTGTATGCAGACAAAAATTATTCTAAAATTATTTTTTTAAAGTTTCACAGCACCTTGTAGAAACAGGTATTTTTTTCAGCTGGCAGCACAAGTGTTTCAGACTTCTGCTGTGCATACTGCGGATAATATCAGCTGAAGCAAAGTTATTCCTATGCTACTGTGACAACAACTCTTGACCAAAGGGCATTCAGGGTTGTGTGTTTTGTTTTGTTTTGTTTTTTTTTGTTTTCTTTAAAGGGAAAGAAAGATGATAACAAAAACATCACTGACCTGTATAAGATTTGGGTGTCTGAAGTTCAGGGAAGATTGTTCTGTTTTTATTTATCTTACAAGGAGGGTGAATGTGGGGAAAAAGACTGAGAAACCTTAGGAGACATTGAGGAGACTGATGTTTCAAACACTGAAATTTAAACATTTACTGTCCAGTGCAGATGAGCAGAGTAGAATGTCAGAATGTTACAGTCCAGTAAAAATCTCCTAGGTTGCTTTGACATTTACCTCTGGTAAACTTTCTCCTATTCTGCCTACCTACTACCATATAATCATTGAACCAATAAATGGGCGCTTAATAACTGCTACCTTGCTGTGTGGTCCAGTGTCATATCTGAATATGTTGTAGAGCTTTACATTTAAGAAAACAGTGTAGTTCCCCAAAGGGGATTTTTTATAAGCCTTCTGTCTTATGCTTTATGCTTATGCAGGAATATTAATTATTCAGATATAGACTGATCATTTTTACTCTTCAGTAATGTGTGCTCTGCCTTAAAGTAAACAAACAAATGAGGCAACAGTTGCCTCTTACAAGCTTTTGTAGCTTAGTCTTCTGAACAGTTGTATAGAACATCCTATACAATCTTTAGGAAAGCATGCACATGTCGCACTTAGCAGGAATGCATTCTAAAGTGAAAACTTAGTATGATGGGAGATGTCAGTCTTAGTAAGAAATGCATCTATTAGGTGGGAGGAGGAAGTCCCTTGTCAGATATTTGTGTCTAAAGCAGTCTGAATTACAACCAGGAATGTTGATATTTTTCTGTATCATTGCTTTTTGTTTCATCTTAAGTCTCAAAGTGGTGGTAGATAGGAGCTTCCTTAGCTGTCATCTCTCAATTGAGATCTTTTTGTTGTCTTTTCTGTCCTCATGTTGAATAACTTCTTTGGGTGGTAAAGGAGTTAGCTGTTGTAAATGCTAACCATGGCTTTATGCAGTCTGAAGAATTTGTTTCTCACTTCAGATCTCAAGTGTGGGCTTCTAGGTGGAAAGGTGTAATAAAGAACAGTTTGCTCTGTCTTTTGGCATGAACCTGACAATGATGGTGTACTTGCATTGGAAGTAGATGGAATTACAGAAATCCTCCTGTCATGGAAAGACAGAGCTGCATAGGAACCAGGTAGGACCAACAAAGACATGAACTAATGTGGTTTGAATCCTTGTGGGCTGGATTTATAAATATAAAGTATATAAATTTATAAACAATGTTAGCTCTTCTGCTTATGAGGGGGGACTCTTCATTGTGCAAGGCATTCTGGCATCACAGACTTTACGCTAGTGATAATTCCTAGGAGAAGCTGTCTTAACTTCCCTTACCCACTGAGTTTCGAAAGGCATGTTCCTTTGCCAGTTATTACACTGATTAAATCAGCAATTTCAAAGATTTGTAACTATTATTTTATGGTTGTAGTAAAAAAAGATGGTAACAGCATGGTAATATAGTGCCAGCTATGGGAAGGAGTGGCAGGGAGGCAGACCTGGCAGGAGGGGGAATGAAGGATAACAGTGTAGCCACTAGAAGGAGCTGGTTTATGCCTATTTGAAGTGTTTAAAAGCTATAGCTTTAGTGTTAACTAATAGAGCCACTTGTCTCAAGCAGTGTGCTAGGTGAGAACCTCTTACTGCAATGAAGTATTGATTCAATGAAGTATTGAATCAAGATAGAGCCATGCTGCCAGATTGCAGTCAATTACTTGAGTAGGCTATCCTAAGATGTGCTTACCCTGTAATTTCCACCCGCGCTCCTCCCAACATCCATTGCTTATGTAGTGTTTGTATTGAATGCATAAATAACTAATATGCTTTATTGCAACTTCTGTCATCTATTTTTATCCTCTTCTTTTTCCATATCAGCAATCATACTGTTTTGATAAGCAGTGTTTTGCTCCAGTGTTGTTACACCTTATCTTAGAACCGTACCCCTGGGTTTGGACTGAGCTCAATGAGTCAGTGTTGTAAATACTGTGTTGATTTCCTTATATATGATATTATATATAATATACATGTATGTGTGTACATTAATTATAAACACTGTGTATGCTTTATATGCAGATATACACAAACATACATACATTATTATATTCTCAAAGTCAATATTTGGCTGCTAATCTCACTCCAAATGCTGAAATTGCTGTGTTCTAGATATTATCCCACATTACTGTGGCATACCTATGGGGATGAAGTAGAGCACCCTACATGGCTCTGGTGATGCACTGAGAGTGTTCTGTGCTATCAGGGCTTTGTGCAGAAATGCAAAGGAAAGGGGCAGACATTTTTCTGCAATCTTTGCAAGCTTCATGTGTAGCAAAGGAAAGCAGTCCTCAAAAACTACTTAATACTAACCCTTCCATGAATGAAATCAATTTGCAAGATACTAAAACTGACAAATAGCTGTGAACGGGAACATGAAGGCAAGGGAAGCACTGGAAGTGTTCTCAAAGCTGTGTAAGCTGCTGCGGATCACTGATTGTGCTTGGTGGTGCAAGTGCATCACATGCAGTCAGCATTTTTCTTGGCTCTTTCCCTGTCGTTTAGCACAAAAGGTCACCTCTTAAGCTTTCTAGTCACAGCAGGCATTTCATAAACAGGCTGACAATTTGGCCAATTGTAGAACAGCATGTCATAACATAGAAGGATGACTGCATCTCCTTCATGTCAGTGTTGCAGTTCTTACTACAGTATGATTCAGAGCCTTGTGCCTTTCTTGGATATGCTCATCTCCGGGTCTGTCTCCAGCGTGCTCCTGTTTTCTTAAGATGGTAACACTTGTTTTTATTGTTCTGCTGCATATATCAGTGGCAGAGCTACTTTGCAGTCTTTGCAAGCTTTTTGTGTAGCAAAGGAAAGCAGTCCTCAAATACTAACTCCCAATACTTCTCATTGGAGACTTTCGTAGTTGTAACCGTCCTTGGCCCTGCTCTCTGGTCGCACGCTGCCTCTCCCAGCAGCAGGTTTGGTACATCTGTGTGTAGCACAGAAAGCAGCATTACAGCGGAGCCTTCTCCGCCCCCGCGGTGCGCGCGCTCCCTCAGCCGCGGCTTTGCGCCGCCACTTCCTGCGCGTGCGCAGAAGCAGCCAGCTGCCCTCAGGCCGTGACGCGCTCGGTGACGCCTCACGTTCCTGCCCTCCTGCCGGCGGCGCGGCGACGTCACGAGTTTCGGCGGAACGGGAGGCGGGGCTTTCGCTTGGCAGCGGCTGCCGTCGCCTCACGCTTGACGGGACGCCCTCCTCGGCCCGACCGCGGCCCCGTCGGCCCCCCCGAGGGCCCCGCCGCCTCCTCGCCGACCGGCCGCTCCGCGCCTCCCGTCCCCTTCCCCACCGTGCGGGCCCGGGGCCCTTTCCCCCCCGCCTCCCGGGGGGGGGGTGGGCTCCTCTCCGGAAACCTGGCCGCTCCCTCCGCGCCGCCTGCTCCGCCGGGCCTGCGCCCGCCACCGCGGGGCAGCGCGGGGGGGCCCTCGCCGCCGCCCGGCCTCCGCCGTCACACAGGTCGGGCCCGGGGCCGGGGGGCCGTGCTGGGCCGGGTTGGGCCGCGGGGAGGCGCGAGGGGGCGGCGGAGTCCTGGGGGTCTGAGAGCCGCGGTGCTGCCGTAGCGGAGCCGTAGGTGTGGGTCAGAATCCGCACGGTGTTTCTGTCGAGGGATAAAAAAAAAAAAAGAAAAAAAAGAAAAAAAAGAAAAAAGTGAATGCGTGGTGATTATTTTTCTCCCCCATTTGCCTTTAAGGTGCACTGGGGCACCCACGAGGGTTTTTTTTTCCTCTGGTTTCCTCGGTTCATAAATACGGTTTCGGTTCTTGGCTGCGGAATTATTGCGTTAAATAAGCAGGGTGCTGGTCAGCTGCATTGTGTCCTCTCTGATGGTGGTGGAAGGCGGCAGGGGCTGCCCTGAGAGAAGGGGCCTTCGGGCCATGCGGGAAGCGTTTCTCAGATATTTTTCCTCCTCGAACAATGCAGCACGTTGCGGGGTGCAGGAGGCCTTCAGAAACGTGTGCCTGTGCCTATGGCAAAGCCTGTGTGTGCAGAATGAACGTCTGCACGCTGATCTCGCACAATGTCTCTGCCTCCTCCATGGCGTAGCGCTTATTAGCAGAAAGCCCGAGGAAGTGTTCTGTCCTATGGAATTCCTTTATGGATCGTTTTATGGGGATGGGTGGTGATGAGTTGGGATTTATGTGACACTGCAACACCTTGGAGGAATTTTCTTGTATTTTTGTTCCTTACCCTTCGTTGTCATTTACAAATAACAAAAGTATTTTACAAAAAAAAAAAAAAAAAAATCCCTTCTTGCTCTACATTGTTTATTTTATCTGCTTTCTTCCACATATATTCAAAGATGAAAGCTTAACTATGTTTCTGGTTTTCTTTACACGTTTTGTTCTGTCACAGTTGCCACCAAAATGTATTGAACGTGGTTATTGATTCAGATAATGAGGCCGTGTGTCATTGATTTGGGTTTGCTTTTTTTTTTTTTTTTTTTTTTTTTCCTCCAAGGTTTCATTCTGTTTTGGTAAAGCAGAATAGCAAAGTGATATCAGTCAAATTGACTCATTTCTGGAGAGAAATGTGTGCACAGTCTGTGTTGTTGAGCAGCCAGTCGGTGAGCCGTCTGTCTCCATGAGCTGTCAGTGGTTTACCTGATACTAATGGAAGACTATGGGGAAGAAAACAGATGTTTCCAAATTGCTTGCCTTGGCATGCTGAGGCTTGTAAACTGTCAGAGGAAACTTTCTCTAAGAGAGCTGTGGTATTTGGGAACCCCAAGAGCTCTGCTGACACGTGTAAATAGACAGTGCTTGGGACAAGTGGAGTTTCTTTTAACATAGCATAAAGAGTTGTGTTTTGTTGTATAAGGTTGACAGTTACGGTAAGAAAGCTCTTACCTAATTTTTTCTTGTTTGTTTTCTTTGTTTTGACGAGCTCTTAAATGCTTTTCAGCAAAAATAGCTTTTCCCATGTGGCTGCAGATCCCTCAGTGTGCTCTGGTTTGCAGGAGAGCTGCTTAGGGTGCAAAGCCACAGCAGTTAAAGATGACTGTGGTGAGATGCAAAGGGTGTTTGCTTTATTATAACAATACAATTTTATCCTGGAGAAAGCAAGAAAAGTAATCATGCTGTAGGTTTAATACATGCTTCTAGTTTCGACTTTGCATTTCTTTTCTTACAGTTTCCTAAAGTAGAGTGTTAATATTTAGACCCAAGTCAGTTTTTTTTTTAAGTCATTATTAATTTTATTTAAAAAAAAAAAAAAAAAAAAAAAAAAAAAGCTTTGCATATCAGCAGCATAGATACCAGTTTTTGTCTTTCATCTGAGTTATCTTCCTGCAGGCTGGCTTTTCACATTGGCAAACTCAGCTGGAAGTAATGAATAACATGTAATTTGTTTTTGCTACATTGTTCAGTGCCTCCTGAGCATTCTCTGAGCTGTAAACCCTGCATTCTTATAAGCTGCTACATGGGAATGATGAGAGAGATTTCCTCTGGTTTTCCACCTCTCCCTCCAAACACAGTGAAAGGTGTTTGTGCCACCAGGGTGTGAGCAGAGCAAAGGACAAATGATTTGGAAAGCTTATTTTTGGATCATTGCTATTATGTTTGACATCTGTATTGACCCATCGATGTAGTAGGCAATCATTAATTGCACTTTGTTATTTTTGGGGAACTTAGTTTCATGTTTATGACAAGCCTAGATGGGGTTCCTTGCTAATGTACATATTTCTATTAGTTTATTTAATTACCAAACATTAAATTTGCTGTCGCCAAAGTTTAGAAATTAAGTTTAAGCTTTGGCAATTCAGACACATAGCTGATGTAGTATTACATTTAACAAATCTTAGTGACATTTTATTAACCACAATTTCTGTGTAGGAGTGAAGATAATTTTATTTTTTGAAGCCATAAATTGCTGGTTTAGCATTCTGATATTTTGAGGTGTTAAGAAATAGGTCACGCTCTCATTGCTCATCTGTTCCCAATGCTATTTTACAAGATGCAGCTGAGCACAGGGAGCATCAGTCAGAATGCAGTGTGCAAGTTGTGCTTCTCACCAGTGCACATCAGTGTGAGATCTTGATTTCATACTGACACAAGTAGCTTGTGGGTGCTCGTTAGCCTGAGTGTTAGATTTAGAACACTTTTGCATTGTTTTTTTTCTGAGATGTCTTAAATACATCCACCTTAACTGTGTCTTCTGAGGAGCTGCAGAAGTTTTGGTATCAATGAATGGAGGAGAGGCGGGATCCTGTTGGGATCTTGCACTTCATTCTTTGCTCTAGGAGATGCTTTCCCTACAAATGCATGTACAGCACAGCTTGAAGCCCGGCTTTGTGAAGTCACTTGAAGTTGGCCTTACTTGAGCCAGGCCAGAGCATTGTTTGCAGCATGCTTTAAAATGGTGCTGGCAGACATAACCTAGTTTTTCATACACGAGCAAAACCATTTTCTTCAGGCTGATGTTTTTTCTTTGCTGTAGCTTTGTTTTCAGCCTCTGTTTCCTCATCTTCTTCACGTCCTGGTCTTTCCTCACTCACTTTCCGTATGCCCATTCAGTCACGTATGTGTCTGCTTCTGTGCATTATCTGCAGTAGTAAAATATGCTGCTTTTGTGTTCCTGAAGTATTTTCTGCCAAGTAACAGTTTGACAGCAGTAGTGCTTTCTGTAACAGAATTCAAATGTTTCAGCTGTTGAAGTTGCAATGGCTGTAATTCTGAAGCTCAGGAATGATAACACTCATAAACAGATTTCATTTTGATAAAAGAAGGAATGACAGATGTGTAAGAAAGGATTTTATGAGGTCACTCCCTGCTCTGAAGCAGAAACAAATATTCTGATATTATATCTGATAAATGTTATTCTGATCTGGTCTTGAAAAGCTCCAAAGAGGGGAATACCACACCTCTTTGCTGCTCTATTTATAGCTGGCACATAATGTAGCTGTTGTTACAGTTAGGAGGCTTTTCTTAATATTTAACTTATGTCTGTCTTGGTTCTAGTTAAGCCAGTTAGTCCCGGTGCTCCTTCTGTTACTCGTGCAGGATGATGATTTCTGTACTGTTTGTGTTGTTTGTAGACGTGAGGACTGTTCCTCTGTCTCTTATTTCAGACTTCACAAACTCTACCAAAAGGCCTTTTCTTCACCAATTGTATTTTCTCGTGTTGTCATCAGCTCCCATTGGACTCTGATGTGTCTGCACCTTTCTGCAAAGTTCCCCAGTCCAAGACTTACTGCAGCAGAATAAATAACTTACTCTATAAGTTCCATCAGAAGTGAGGTGGCAGCCCTATTAAAATGTCGCTTCAGGGTGTGTGCACGTCTTGGTTTTGTGGTTTTAGTTTGGTTTTGGTTTTGGTGGTTTTTTTGATGGGTGTTTTAGTTTGTTTTTTTGTTGTTGTTGTTTTTTTGGTTGGTTGGTTGGCTTTCAACAACATCATTGGCTCTTCCATTTGTTAACATGGGAGCTTGTATTAGCATCTGTAAAATCAGGTATCTTCCTTCATAAATGTGCATTTGAGTTATCTTCTTCCCGAAGGATAGCACCTTATCTGTGGTGAATTTAATCTTCAGGTTAGTTTTCTTATATAGGCCGTATAGGACCAGGGCTCACTAAGATATTTTTCAGTAAAATGGGCCTTTTCTGCAGTTCCACATCTGTTTGCCAGCACGTGCAATCACTCTGGTTTGGTATGTGCGTCTGCTGCGTGATGGGAAGCCTGACTGAAAACAAGTTCTTCTGGGGTTCCACGCAGCTTCTGTTGGCAAAAAAAAACATATCGTAACATGGAAGGATTTTATACATTTTATTTCTTTGAAGTAAGTTGTTGTGGTAAGGTAGTTTATGTCGGTGTTACCATACCTGAACAGGCCTTCTGCCTTTTTGTTGCGCACTACCACAGCACAGTGATAAAGCATTCTCTTTAGAGAATATTTATGAAGTCTCTGTGCCTGTGGTATTACTGCTATCATGAATACCAAGTGAGACTTTCAAAGGAGAATTTACACATTACTGGTGCTTTGACTGACAGGTCTTAGGTAAAGCCTTAATCCATAGTGAAATCAGAAAAAACATACTCCAGCGTTCTTCTTCCAGTAATGAGCATGAGCAGATGCATCTGAAACTGCTCTATTTTAATACAACCTCTTCTGGAGCTGAGGTCTCCAGAGCTGATAGTTGTAGTCAAGATGGGCAGCGTTCTGTTTTGTACTCATTTTGTTCATAGTAATTCCTAACATAAATTTTCTTTCTGAGTGCAGGCAGATTTCAGTGCTGAGCCCTTTAGTTCTTTTTCTTCTGTGTAAATTTGTGACTGGTTCTCCCCACGCCATCACTTCCACTCATCTGTGCTGTCTCTCCTCCGCTCAGTCTGTTGAAGACCACTTCCACCACTTCCCCTGGTATCCATGGCAGGCACAGTGCTGGCAGGTTTTTTACCTTGTTCCTGTTTCTTGGATAATTCAGAATCTGTTGAACAGCTCAGAGCCTTGTGGAAGCCTT